TAGCTGATAGGCGAGTGAGTGTGTACGAGGGTGTGTGTATGCGTGTGGGATATCCAGGGTGATCCGGAGTGGAGTGAAAGCGAACAGTGGTGTTGAAGAGGGAGACGAGAGTTGGTGTGTACAGGCGCTGATGCGCCATAACTTGTTAAAGCGAGTTGGTATCTGAAATGTGTTGACGACTTCCATATCTCCAAGCTTTGAGTGGGCGTTGTGCGCCAGTGTGTCTTACCATCTGTTTGCATGAGTGCAGAGTGGAAAAGAAAGCGAGTCTGATTGCACTATTGAGAAATTCGAATATTTTTTTCAGTGCTTCGTTATTCTGAAATTTTATTTTTCTGGAATCTTTTTGGGCTGATTCGTTTTTTTCTAAATCGCGCACGAATTGGTAGCTGTGAATTTTGAATTTGTTTGTTTTTTAATTTCAAAAATGAAATTTTTTCGTTATTTCAAGAATCCGGCATTTTATATTTTTGGAAAATGGTTGTCAACCGGACGTCCGGAATGGGATCCAAACGATCCGGTCTGGATGTCCGGATCCTATGTCCGGTTTGAGGGGTCCGGTTGGGCCTAATTTCGAGAAAATTCGAAAAAAAAGGGGTCCCCAGGCAATTTTCTAGTGCCTGGCGGACCTCCGAAAATTGTTGGCGCAGTTTTTTGTGCACCGTTGGGCCAACTGGACCAGCCCTGAAGGGCCTGTACTTGCAATCTTGGGTGAGCTTCAGTGGGCCAAGGAGAATTGGTTGTGTGTGTACGTGTGTGTGTTGTCATATTCGCTATACACTCAAAAAAAGCATGAATGTGCTAGACTGTTTCGTCGGACTTTCACCGACTCATGAAGAGGTTGAACCTCGACAGTCTGCCCAGGATTCATTTGACTGATGGACAAGGACTCAGGACATTGCCCAGAGTTAGCGACACCCCTGAGAAAAGTGGTATGTGTGTGTATGTGTGTGTGTGTGTGTGTGTGTGTGTGTGTGTGTGTGTGTGTGTGTGTGTGTGTGTGTGTGTGTGTGTGTGTGTGCACGACATCACCTTGAGTCAGCGACACCCCTGGCTGCTTTGCGAGCGACCCCCCTTCGTTCTGAGGCACACGCGGAAGTCGCCTCTCTTTTATTCTTTTGAGGACTACGCTGCTCGACTCATTCCTTTGCTGGGTTCTCACACTCAAGGACAAGACGTGTGTGCGGTTTCTTCTCCGCCTGGAAGCAGCAATGGTTTATCGTCTTCAAGTGGTTCTTCACGCCGTTCACGGCTTTCGGTGCACAAGTTCAACATAGAGGGGTCTTGGACCCATTGACGTCGGAGGATTTTGCATGGCTTCCTCTCCCTTCCACATGCTGCTTACCAGGACCGCAATGTGCAGCACTATGCGCCCATCTCCACACAAACTTAGTCTTCTATGCACCACCATTTTCATCAACGGATGACGAAGCTGCAGTGGGGGACATCCTCAACTCCCTTTATGTACCACCATCTTCGTCGACGGATGACGAGTTTCGCACGCGGCGGTACGATGACAATAACGCACTGCTCCTTTATGTTCACATCCAAGTTGGGCAAGTGTCCTGCAGCGCTTTGCTGGATACCGGCGTGACTCGCAATTTTATACGTCGACGGCGATCAAGTTGGCAGACGGTCGGATGCAACAAGTCCTCGATCGTTACATTGAAGTCATGCTAGTTTATTTCGCACCTCATGCATGCGAACCGGTGACATTTGACATCTTGGATACAGACTTCGACATCATCTTGGGGATGCCTTGGCTTGCAAGTGCGGATCACACGGTCAACTTCCATCGGCGGACATATACCATTCGTGACGCCTTCGGCGTCGAGGTGCCGTGTACTATTCCTCTTCCACACCCTTCGATCTAGTGCCAAGTTGTGATGGCCAAGTCTTTTCAGGCCACTTGCACTTACGAGTGGACTGACGAGATAGACCTATGTTTTCTTCGGACCGTCACGGCTATCGAATCTTCACCTACGGACTTGTCTTCGGACCCCTGAGTGGTGTGGTTGCTCTACGAGTTTGCCGACGTCTTTGAGTCACCTACCAGTGTGGTGCCAGATCGGTCGACCTCCCATGAGATCATTCTTGAGGTCGGTAACGTGTCGTCGAAAGGATGCATCTATAGCATGAGCTAGGAAGAGCTCACTGTCCTCTGTGCTCAACTCGATGATTTGTTGGACAAGGGCTGGTCCACCTTAGTAGCTCACCGTATGGTGCTGCAGTTCTCTTCGTACGGAAGAAGAACAAGGATCTTTGCTTGTGCATCGACTACCGCAAGCTCAACGCACAAACCGTCAAGAATGCGGAACCTCTTTCGCGCATTGACGATCCTCTCGAGCGTTTGGGCGGTGCAAAATTTTTCTCAAGTTGGACTTGGAAGTCGTGCTATCAGCAGATTTCGATACGTCAGCCAGATCGCTTTAAATCCGTGTTCAAGACGCGATAAGGGCATTTTGAGGCGGTTGTTATCCCTTTTGACCTCACCAATGCCCCGACAACTTTTCAAGCGACAATGACCAACGAGTTGCGCGCAATGTTGGACCGGTTTGTGCTGCTCTATTTGGATGACATTCTCGTTGATAGTCGTACCTTGGAGGACCACCTCGAGCACGTCGGACGTGTGTTGGAGATGCTCGATTGCGCCAAGTACAAAGCCAACCGCGACAAGTGTGAATTTGTGCGTCAAGAGTTGGAGTACTTGGGCCATTTTGTCACCCTGGAGGGCATCAGTCCATTATCGGACAAGATTCAAGCCATCCGAGAGTGGTCGGAGCCGAAGAACATCACGGATGTCCATTCCTTTCGCGGCTTAGCCGGCTACTATCAACGCTTCATCAAGGGATATTCGAAGATCATAGCCCATTTATCCAAGCTTCAATGTGAGGACCGACCATTCCACTTCGACGACAATGCGCAAGCTTCCTTTTTTCCCCTAAGCCGCATTGCTATCCGCGAAGGTGCGACGCATCTACGACCCGCTTTTGCCGACACGCGTCACTACCGATGCGTCCGATTATAGCATTGGTGTCGTCCTCGAGCAACATGATGGTGTGGACCGGCACCCGTTCGAGTACTTTAGCAAGAAAGTGCCCACCGTGCTCTCGATTGATGATGCACCGAAGGAGTTATTGTCCTTTGTATACGTGCTCAAGCGCTGGCGGCATTTTCTTCTCGGTCGACGACAATTCCGATGGGTAACGGATAACAATCCGTTACCTTCTACAAGACCGAAGACACGGTCAATAGCACCATCGCCCATTGGATGGCCTTTATCGACCAGTTTGACTTCCTCCCCGACCAAACCGTTTTGCGGATGCTCTTTCACAACGTCCGGACCATTGTGCCGCAGTCTACTCGACTTTCGAGATTGACGACGACTTGAGGGACAACTTCATCCACGGCTACCAAGCTGACCCCGAGTTTCATGACAAGTATTGTTCTTTTCCAAATCCGGCACCGTCGCATTATTGGATCCGAGATGGATATGTGCTCGTCCACTCCTGGGGGAAGGATCTTCTTTGCAGGTTGAGTGATTCACACTTACGTACGCAGCTTCTCGGCGAGTTCCACGATGCTCCCGCCACCGGACATTTTGGAGTCAATCATACGATTGGCCAACTTCGCGAGCGCTTTTGGTGGCCCAGCCTTCTGGGCGACGTCACACGCTATTGCAAGTTGTGCGAGGGTTTGCCGATGTTGCAAATCCCGCCATCATCATCTGTACGGCGAGGTGTGACCATTACCGGTCCCCTTGAGACGAAGGGAAGCGATTGCCATGGATATCATTGAGCCGTTCCCCAAGCACAAGACTGGTGTGGATGGGATTCTCACGGTGATCGATTGACTCACCAAGTTTGCCATGTTTTTGCCTTGCCGCTATCACGCCAAGGCACCGGAGTTGGCCGAGGTTCTTTACGCCGGTTGGATTCGGACCAAGGGTTACCCCAAGGAGATTGTTTGCGACCGTGATTCATGTGAGATTTTTGGTTGGCGCTCACCGAACGATGGGGCTCATCTCTCAAGCCGAGTTCAACTCGCCACCCCCAAACCGATGGCCAAATGGAGAGGGCGCATCAGACCGCACAGGTCCTTCTTCGCACTCTCATCTGTCCTGACCAAAAGGATTGGGTTGAGCGGCTGTCGGATGTCGGTTTGGCTTACAACTCGTCCATTCATCTGGCTATCGGGATGTCGCCCTTTGAGTTCGAGCATGGCTCGCCGGTCACTTCTCCGTTGGACACGATTATCCCATGGGCGGCTGAGAGCGACGACCACCTTCTCTTCATTCGTCGAATGCAAGAGCTTCTTGCCAAGGCATCGGACCAGATGTCGAAGACGCAGCAACGTATGAGGCAACAGGCCAACCACCAGCGACTTCCTTGTCCGTTTCGCGTCGACGACCTCGTATGGGTCTCCGCCGCGGAGTTCATCCTCGAACAAGATATCTCTTGCAAGCTTCTTCCAAAATGGATGGGGTCGTGGCCCACTGTGGCACCCACTAGGGATGCGCCTGAAGGACCCTCATTTGTCATTTAGGTGCCTGCAAATTGCCCGTCTACCCGGTAGGGGCCCAGACCGTATGGGCCGTTTTTGCCCAGCATCAGAGGCACGCCCAGCCAGGCCCAGCGCTACGTATAGCTGGGCTACTTCTGGGCACATACACAGTTCTAGTAGCTCACTTCCTGGGCGACACGCTGCTGGAGTGGTGCGACAGCGCTTCGCTATAGTAGATGTGTAGGTAGGCAGAGGGGCGGAGGCTGTACCTGCACCGACGGACTTACCTGACGCCATTGCTGGGGGCCCAGCCCTTAGAGCCAATCCTTTTCCCAAGGTTACGGATCCATATTGCCGACTTCCCTTACGTACATTCTTCCTTTGACCAGAGGCTGCTCACATAGGAGACCTGATGCGGTTATGAGTACGGCCGGGCGTGAGAGGTACCYGCAGCTCCAGATTTTCAAGGGCCGTCGGGGGCGCGCTGGACACCACAGGACGCGCGGTGCTTTGCCGGGCGCTGCACCCTATCTCCGGTTGATCCGATTCCAGGGTGGGCGAGCCGTCAAGAAGGAAAGAGAVCCCYCCCCACGGCCCCCGCCGGCATCTCCGGAGCTGCTTACGTTACCGTCCACCTCCACAACCCGGTTCGGGAATATTAACCCGACCCCCTTTCGATGTGCGGCGCGCAGTGCGCCCTTGACTTCATGCGGGCGACCTGCACACGATGACGACGACGACAGTCAGTCCCTGGCCGCAGCTGTAGGTGAGACAGCGAGGGGGACGACATCTTTGTCTTCTTCTTCGTCCTCCAGCTCTCCTCCCTCCGACCTTCTTCTTCTTCTTCTTCTTCTTCTTCTTTCTCAGAGAGAGAGTGAGAGAGAGGTACTGGTAGAGGTAACATCAGGCATACGCCCAGGATCTGTCAGGCATACGCCCAGGATCTGATTCGACAATTTTGCGGCAGACATTGATTGGACACTCGGCAAGGGACTATTTTCCGACTTCACTATTGCAATCTTGGTCTTCTCCCTCGCCTCCATATTAGTCTCGCCTCCTTCCCCCATCTCTCGTCCGTGGTATCTCCCCCATGTGCGTGTGCAAGGAGGGACATTTCTTCCATGTATGCGGTCCCTCCTCCCTCTCTCACATGTGTGGTGTATGATGGAGTGTCACGTCAGTATCTGACAGGTCGGGTCATATCCTTGAGTCTTTCACTGCGTTACATTGTGCTATTTTTATATGTATCTGGATGTGCATTACTTGTTGATGCTTTGCTGACACTGCATTGTCCATTTGAGTCCTTTTCATCACTTCGCGGATCCTTGGCTCCATATACATTGCTTGACCGAGCTTGTATCACTTCCTTTCCCCCTCTTCGCCTCTCCTTCCTCCTCCTCATCCGTGTATGGTTTGTGCCTGTTGCGCTCGACTTTGCGTAGGCCACTCATATCGTGTGATGATGATGATGGTGATGTTCAGTCTGTCACGACATTGATTGGGTCTGATTATTGGTATTTCAGTCTTCCGTTGTGCTATCGTTGCTCCATCTTTGAGAGGTCGGTTCTTGGTTCTGGTCTGCGCCATTTGGCATGCGACATAGAGCGAGGAAGAGCGATCCAAGTCAGAGAAGCAAGACTATAAGAGAGAGCGAAGCCATAGCCGCCGTCCAGTTGAGATCCGTTGTGTGTGTGTGTGTGTGTGTGTTTGGCTTCTCAGGCATGAACTCCCATGTATTCATTGATGTATGCCAGGTGGAACTTGACGAGTACTTGGCTCATTTCACACAAGTTTTTTCTGGGGTGGGAGTTGGGGTTTTGGCCACAATATCTCTGCGAGGCGCCTCAGCAAGTGTTTGCTGTGGGTGCCATTCCCCCGGGCTGCTCTTTCGGTGCACATGGAAGAATGGGGTAGCTTCTAGGGTGTTTTAAGCAGTTGCACTCCTGGTGTCGCATGAGATCTTGTGGATTTCGGCGTAGTACTCGCAGTGACCTCGCTGTAGTGCTAGGACATCATCCGGTTCTGCAGGTTGCACGGCAGGGGAAGATTCATGGCACTCTGGGTGTTGTGTGCAGGTCCTGTGGTGTATTTTTTATTTGTGGTGGCGCTGTAGGCCGTCGCAGAGGGCTCTAAGACGTTTTTAGACCATTGGCCTGTGTGGTCGGTGCTTTTTTGTTAGTGGAGCCTTTTCTGTTATGTTGGTTTGTGGTTTTGTGGGCCAATGTGGAGGGCTCTTCAAGTTCTTTCTGACCTGTGGAGGATGGGGTCGGTGTTTTCTTGCTGGTGGAGTCCTCTGTCCTAGGTAAGTTGCTTTGTGCCCTCCACCCTTTTACGGATCGAATAAATATATGTATATATTGTCAAACAGAGTGTATATGTTTATGTGCAAGTGTGCCGCTTCGCCGGCAGACGGGTGTGGGGGCACTTGGCGCCGAACCACGCAAATGTGGCCAACCCTGCATTTTCTACTATATTGTCTATCTATACTTTTTCCAACTTTTTTGTTATGCATGGTTGTTATGATTTGTGGAGGAAATGAGAGAGAGAATTTGGGGTGCTTTAACAACACACACACACACACACACACACACACACACACACACACACACACGTGCGACCTTTTCTTTTCTTTTTTCTTTTTCTTTTTGCGCACTACACACACCACTTTTCTGCGCATGGCGCACTACGCACTGCAGTAGAGCGCCACAACTACGTTATGGAGTTTTTTTTATGTCTTAATAGCAAGTTTATAACTTCAAACCCATCTGCGCCCCCCTTTTGGGTAAGGGAAGGGGTTTCCTGACCATGTTGATGCGTTTCGATTATTTCAAACAAGGGAATATACCATGATAACCGTCTGGACGTCCGGACCGGGTTCCGGACAGTTCAGAACAACATGTAAGGTGTCTGGTGTCCGGTCCTTATGTCCAGATGGAGGCCTCGGGGGCAGGGGAAAAAAAAAGGGGGGGTGGCCCAGGACGTTTTTCGGGTCCTGTCCGCCCCTCGAAAAATAACGGGGTGATTTTTCAGTGCTGTTTCACCCCACCGGACAGGGCCTAGAGGTCCGGACACAAGACAATGCAGGTTTTTGGGGTGGCGGGTTTCACACAGGCCCAAGCAATTTCAAAGCGGCGGTTTCGACGTGCCGCCCGCCGCTGCTGCCCATTG